GAGAGAGAGAGAGAATTTTAATATTTATTTTTTAGTATTTGGCAGACACAACATCTTTGTTTGTATGTGGTGCTGAGGATCGAACCCGGGCCGCRCACATGCCAGACGAGCGTGCTACCGCTTGAGCCACATCCCCAGCCCTCGATGTCAGTTCTGATTCCATACTTGAGTGAGCTAGAGATGGAGTCATAGGTGACCCTCAGTTTGTGCTCACCTTATATCCCAGAAATCCTTATGTCTGAATGAAGATTGGAATTGGCCACCTTGAGCGATATTGGCTTTTCTCCTGTGAACTCCGGCTTGGTTTTTCCAGTTTTGCTCCACAACTGACAGATTAAGCACAGCATGGTAGTGGGGAGTTGACTGCTTGACATTATTGTAGTGGGACTGGTAGTGGATTTTGCTTGTGGTTAGTTATCACTCATATTTTTGATGAGCTAGTTGTTCTTAAGAGAAATATACTATGTTGAATTTAAATGTAATCGTCTATAGGTAGCTGTTTTATTTCAAGGTAGTTTAAATTTTATTGACAACCCCTTTGGATGAAACTCATCTGCACATTTATTTTTTGGGTGAGTATACATTAATTTTTCTTGCCTCTGACTTTGTGCTGCAGATTCCTAGCTGAGTAACGCCCTTTTTTGACTGACTCAGTATTAGCTTTTGGTGTGGTCCTACAACCAGTGGATAATTTAACTAAAAGTGGGATGCTTGTTCTCTGACCGTGTTGTATTATTTCTTTTTAAATAAATTGTCCTTTGGAGTAGAATTAAAGCATAAAACTTTAAGATATTTCAGCTGTTTCCCTTTGTTTATTAAGTCAAGTTTTTGCTCCTATAATTTACTTGGAATTAAAATCATTTATCATTTACTAATGTCTTATGAACTTTGAATTGTTAAATTATAGGTTAAAATAAAATGTGGTTATAATGATTCATAATTAAATTGTGCTAATAGCATTTGACTTTTGTATTCATAATAAATACCTAAACTTTGGAAAATTCTCTCTTTTAAGCAGAAATCAAAGCATATAACTAATAAACCACATCTCAGGATTTTCCTGAGCTCAGTCTTGGCCAGTACAATCTAATAAACTTGGAACTTTCTGTCAGTTTATTTTCTTGAAATTAAAGTATCATTCAGTTGCTGATGCCAAGTTGGAGTGGAGTGTTTCTGGGAGAGGTGGCGCCCCCAGCTGGAGCAAGTGGAAACCTTTTTCTCCTTTTCTTTCCAGAGTAGCTCAGAAGAGGGAGGATGCTGTTTCCAAAGAAGTGACTCGGAAACTCTCAGAAGCTGATAATAGGAAGATGTCTCGAAAGGAGAAGGATGAGAGGTTTGACTTCTTAACTGTTAGCAGTAACCTCAAAAGCGGGTACTTGGGAGAAAATAAGTTGGTGATTTCTGCTTAAAGAATGTGGACACTGGACTTGTAGCAGCAGTGGAGCTGGGAATGGGAACAGCTGCCTCTGGAGTTTTTATTACACTGGATGTTTCTTTGAGCTCCGCACAGTTGATTTATTCTCCTGAAGAATGAAGTAGCTACTGTTACCAGCTCCATTTTACACCCGAGGAAGCTGAGGTCCAGAGAACTTGGGTAACTTGCCCAAGGACATAGATGAGTCCTTGTAGATCCGTGATAATGCAGGCATCCTGACTGGAGGATGGAAGCTGACTATTCTTCTGGAATATAGGCAGCTCAGGCTTTGTCCTGTGCAGTGTCTGCCTATGGTACCTGCGTGGCCTTGAGCACGTCACCTCATCTCAGTCTGAAGGGCTTACAGTGTTCTGTTAGCATTTTGAGGTGGCATTTCTGCGTCTGTGCTTCCCATGGGACATCCAGTTCTTGGATGGAAACTGGTTGTATTGTTTGGGGAAAGAAAGAACCCGGCTTGTCTGCTGCTGTTGGGTGCTCTGCAGGGTTTTTTAGCTGCCCTCCCAATTTTTTCTGCCAGCTTCTCTTAGAAGTCTTGTTCAACAGTCCACCATTTGAGTTGCCCAAGTCCCTGCACAGAGAGTAAACTGAAGAGTTGCCAGATGGTTTGATGGAGTCATGAGCTGGTTGTTTTCATGGTTCATAAGTTTTTGTATCAGCAATATGCTTTGTGGGACACAATTTTTACCACATTTTGTTCCAGAAAGACTTTGTGGGGGTACTTGTGATATTAAAAAAAAAGTAATAAGGAGCTGAGGTTGTGGCTCAGAATTAGAGCGCTTGCCTAGCATGTGCCGGGCCTTGGGTTCGATCCTCAGCACCATGTAACAATAAATAAGTAAAATAAAGGTATTGTGGCCAACTGCAACTAAAAAATAAATATTTTTTTWAAAAAAGTAATAAGCTGGGTGCAATGGTGCAATGGTGCATGCTATAATTCAAGCAAAAATCAGGAGGCCAAGGCAGGAGGGTTGGGAGTTTGAGGTCAACCCTGGGCAACTTAGGTCCTGTATAAAAATAAAAAGTGGATTGGGGATGTAGATCAGTGGCAAAACACCCCAGGGTTCAATCCTCAGTCTCTCTCTCTCTCTCACACACACACACTCTGCCTAAGATCAGAAACCATCTTGAAGTTTAAAGGTATTTGAACAGAAATGTGGAGTTAGCATTTGAGTTTGAGTGCTGAGCTCAGTTCTGAGCTCCTGAGCTCCCGGGTGTCTGGGGAAGCATCTGAGGTCACACAGCTTTCCTTATCTGATGGGAGCAGCGTGTAAGCCCTTCTGAAAAGAAACTTTCCTGGCACTGAGTCTTGGAAGGACTTTATCAAGTGCATCCTTATTTAAGGCACACTGAGTAACTTAATGAACAATGTCTTCTGCAGTGGTTTTGGAAAGGCACCAGAGCAAAATGAAGTGATTACCTCCTGTGATCCTTTATACAGCTGGAGGCACAGGGAGCAGCTGTAATGAGGTCTGGCTGCAGAGCTTTCTGATTGCATGTTTTGCATAGGAATAGAGGGTAGACAATTCAGAGCACTTTCTTTAGAAACCTTTTTGATGAATTATATTGTTTGGAACAGTGTTTCCTACATGGGGGTGCCTATCATAATTACCCACATTTTAGAATGCCTATTCCAGCTCTCTTTTGGAGGGTGGTACCGGGGATTGAACTCAGGGACATTGAACCAAATCCCTAACCCTGTTTTATATTTTAGGGATAGGGTCTCATTGAGTTGCTTAGCACCTTAATTTTGCTGAGGCTGGTTCTGAACTCATGATCCTCCTGTCTCAGCCTCCTGAGCTGCTTACAGGCATGTGTCACTGCACCTGGCAGTTATAGCTCTTTTAAGGTTTGGGTAATGGATGTCTCAAAATGGGCCTCTTCTGCCTACTGTAGAATTGCCTGGTTGGTCTGGTACTTGTTCTTGATCCTGGAACATACCTTGAAATTTTCCTCATATAACATTCAGGTAGTCTTTAGTAGTCGACCAGAGTTGGAATTGTGAGTGAGAACTCTGCTGTTTGCTGGATTAGGTATTTAAAAGTAGGGTGAGGTGAAGGTTCTATGGATGTGTGAATTTCTCTCTATCATGAGGAGAAATTTGTCCTGTTAGTATTTCTCTCACCAAATCCACAGTGGAACAGCCTCACCCCAGTCTGTATTAAAGATTGACACTGATGGCTGGGACCAGAAACTGGTGAGTTTATCTGTGAGGGCAAGTGGCTTCCAAGAGGTTTGATYTAAGAGAAGGTTTCTCAGCTCTTTACCTAGATGTGTGTCTTCCTGATCTCCCTTGAAAGTCATTTGGAGTCTGTACTCCCTGCCCCTTTTTAAAATATCCATTTGTCCAATGGTGGAAATAAGCAGAGAGGAGCTGGAGATTCATTAACATTTGTTCCAGATGTGAGTGTTATTTTGTTGGTTTGTCTGTCATTTAGCATTATTTGATTATAGTAGTTGCTGTTTGTTCTCAACTTTTCTCTTGTAGGACTGTCTCCCTGGGAAATATTCTCTCAAGCTGGATTCCTCCCAGGGATGCTTTGGCAGAACATTGGCAGTGAGGGTGTTTGGGGGTTTACATTTTTTTTTTAATGTAACGCTCATTACATGGGTGGACCAGAGATCCTCTGCAGGCTGTCATGGTGCTGACGTGTGTATGCTGATTTGAGCAGGTGGCAGCCAGGTGACCTCATGGAAGGCAGTTCTGGTTCAGGACTGGCAGGAAGGAGTCAGGGGAAGGGCTGGCGGCCTGTGGGGCCTGTCTCCAGAGGGTTCTGCCAGAGTTGAGGGTGGATGTGATGGGGCTGGGATTTCTGCACCGGGTGGTATGGACTCTGTATCTTGCAAAGTTTGATTTTGTTGTACTAGTGTAAGAAKGGTTAAAATAGATTTCCTCCAATTTCAAGTCAAATGCTTTCAAATTTCATGTGAAATCAGAAGGGGTATTTGGGTTAGGGGCTGCACTTAAAGTCCTTTCCTGGGGCTGGGGTTGTGGCTCAGTGGTAGAGTGCTCACCTAACATGCATGAGGAACTGGGTTCTATCCTTAGCACCAATAAATGTAAAATAAAGACGTGTCCACCTAACACTTAAGAATAAATAAGTCCTTTCTTTCCCCCAGACTTAAGAGTTTGTTGAAAATTAAGTTGAGTGTGTCCATAAAATCAGGGAAATACGGCATCTGTGTCAGAGACTGCACATTTTTCTTAGATGAGGCTAAGGTGGTGACACCCTTCGTGTAGCCCTTCACAGCCAGGCTGGCTGACCTCAGATTAGAACACTTGATGAATAAGTCTCATCAGTTGCCAGGATGCCAGCCGTGGAGTTTGTTGTCCTGAGGGTGGGGTGTGTGGGAATGAGTCATCTGCCTCCAGGGAGGGGGATTCTTTTTTGGGGACAAAACGTCTATAGCAGTGGCTTTCAATATTTTAAATAATGATCCACAGTGAAAACAGTGTATTTTTAAAAACTGCTTTACAAAGTTTAATCAAATCAAAAGGAATCAAGTCTGCCTTATTCAGAGGTGCCCTGGACCTTCCTCTTGCCTGTGTAAATGGGTAAAAGAAAAGGCTGATAAAGTGCTGGTACTTTAGGAAGATGATATAGCAGAGAAAGGAAAACAAGGGGCTGGGTTAGAGCGCTTGCCTAGTGGGCGTGAGGCACTGGATCCCATCCTCAGCACCACATAAAAATGAAATAAAGATATTGTGTCCACCTACAACTAAAATGTAAATATTTAAAAAAGAAAAAGTAAAACAAAAAGTAAAAGGGTTTTTATAGAAGTTTAAAAAGTCCCCTCGTGGATCAAGCAGATTATTTGCAGTAAATAATGATGGTTGACGATGGCCCGCTGTACTTGGTGTTTCCTTCTTTAAGTGGAAATTGAAGGCTGAGAGCCACAGGCCAGCAGCCTAGGAGCTCCCTGAGCCATGAGGTGTAGGTGGAGACTGGGGAAAGGGGCCCTCTTAGGTGTGGGTGGGGTCCTGCCAGCTGCAGTTTTCACCCCTTCCTCTCTGTCCCTGGTGGCCTGGGAGGAATGGAACACCCAGCACCTGTAGTAAGAGAGCTAGAAGTCTTGGGATAAAGGTGATGATTCTTTGTTTAACATTGTAAACGGGTTCTCAGCCCTGAGCACATTGGGAGCAACGTACTGACAGTGACKGGGAGCTATGTAGTGTTTGAAGTTCTGGATCCTGCTTACAAACTGGTCTGACTTGTTTCTGTGTCTCTAGAATCTTGTGGAAGAAGAATGAAGTTGCCGACTATGAAGCTACAACGTTTTCCATCTTCTATAATAACACTCTGTTCCTGGTCTTGGTCATCGTTGCCTCCTTCTTCATTCTGAAGAACTTCAACCCCACAGTGTATCCTTTAGAAGCCTGGAAACAGGAGCTGGTTTTTGTTTTGACTTGTCTGGGTATTTTAGTGGGAAGAAAAACTGCTTTGGGAGTCAGTCCATTAAGTAGCACTGACTTTAGGCAGGTTTCTGGACACTTCAAAGAACAGTTTTTGGTTTGATTTAAAAAAATTTTAAGTTTGTATGATAAACAAGATTTGCAAAGCAGACCACTTCCACTGGGTATGTAATGACGTACACCTGCCTACTTAAGAAATTCCAAGGAGGCAGAACAAACTTGCCTTCTTGGGTAGCTTCTATCATCATTCTTTGGGAGTGGAGACTGGGTGATAGCTGGTGTAGTTACATGGGCACAAATTATCATCTTTTTAATGTTTCAAGCTGCTTTTAAATTGAGCTGAGCTTGTGGGCAAGAGTCTTGTCCTTTGTTCAGATAACTTATTGGAGGTGTTGTCCAGGAACACACAGCCAGGCTTTGCCAGTCTGGGCTTGTGGTGGAGAAGATGAGGCCCCTCCAGCTTGCACCTTCTGGGAGGACTGGAGTGAACCTCAGACTGAAAGTGGCGGTGAACTTTCAAACCCCCTGCTTTGCCAGCTGCAGCAAGTGTCCTGGTTGGCGGGAAGTTCCCCTTCTTTGCTGTTRGGTGGGGTCAAGTCCCTCCTGCATGTTCTTCCATCAGTTTTCATGAGGGTGAAGTAGGATTCAGATGGTTCTTGTGGTCATGTTTTCTAGGTTCATCTCTGTTTAGTTTTAAAAATGGAAACATTCCCTGTGTTTTACATTCTCTAGAGCCTCCCGTTTTGTAAGTTGGGTTTATAGAAAATGGGGCTGCATGTCATTGAGATTCTACTGGGTTTCAGGAGGGAAGCAGTGTGTTCTAAAGAAATGGGCTTTTAGTTTTGTTGAAAAACTAACTTTGGGTTCTTAACTTTTCCTTAACACTAAATTCTCACAGGAACTACATTTTGTCCATAAGTGCTTCGTCAGGACTCATCGCCCTCCTGTCTACTGGTTCCAAGTAGACATGTCAGCTTCGCCCCCTGGCTTTGTGTTGATGGGTGGCCTGTGGCATGTGGAAAAGYAGCAGGGTGGTCSGGGTGGGAGACACACAAGATGTTTTTATAGTCTGGAATTTGAGGGTTTAAAAAAATGCAACAGAATGTAATTGAGTGTTTGTTTATTGGCTCTTTTTGACAGATTGTTGAAATTAAATGAATTGAAAGGGAAACTCAGAGTACCAGGACATTTATTAAAAGGCGAGAAGTCTTGCAATGTGCTATAATCTCGAGGAGAAAATAACTCGTTTCCTTGATCCATCAGAGGTCACAGTAACCTGGGCCGAACTGTTATTATTTATAATGGTAGCAAGAAGTTAATAACTGGTTCTCTGTGTTCCAAGCACAACATTACAACTTTTTTTGAACCATAAATATCAGAATGAATCCTCAGGGGATTAAACAGAAGCCTCATGTTTATGAGTCTCTGGACTTGTGATTTGTAAGAACTCAAAGTTTAAAACATGATTTCTCCAGCTTGGAGAAGAGAAGCTTGTGGAAAAGTTTCTTTTTTTTCTTCCGTAAGAAAGGCAGCCAAGGTAGCAACCTAAGAATAGTGTCCAGGTCCACAAGAGCTGTAAAGTGCTGCTGGGCTTGTGACCTGGCCCCGGTGGCCAGGAGTCAGCTTGACCCTACCATGTTGGTGACCTGTGCAGCCACTGGGTCAAGGTTCTGCTAGACCAGGGTCTCATGCCCTGGGGTTGAGGTTGAGTAAGAGGGAGGCCTGTCCTGTACAGCGTCAGGTAAGGGACCCGAGTCATGCTTGTCACGCTTGTGAACCTGGTTCTGGAATGCTGAGGACTCCACGAGGAGGTGACAGTGGTGAATGCTTGTCAGCAGKTTTTCATGAGGGCTTTCCTCGGTTTACCCGCTAGTTCACAGCTTCCTGTTGATTGTGATCAAATAATGGTCTCTTCAGGTTTTGGKGGTTTAGCTGAGAGCGGTCTCTATTTTTTGCCAGAATATGTACAGATATTATCATTTTCTGTTTGTGCTATGACTTGAAAAAGTTTGGGAATCTCTTTATCACTCATGATATTGGTTTCATATAGTTATTAGCTTTTGACTATATCCACTAATTTCCTACCAGGAATACCTCAAGGGAAATATATTCCCGATCTTCAGTGTCCACTTCTAAATTTAAGGTGAACATTATCAGCTGGTTGTGATGCACATTCCCAGCCACTCGGGTGRCTGAGGCAGGAAGATTTTAAGTTGGAGGCCAGACTGGGCAATTTAGTGAGACCCTGTAAAATTAAAAGGGATGTAGGTATAGCTCAATGGTAGAGCCCTTTTAGCCTGCATGAGGCCCTGGGTTCAGTCGTCAACACCATCTTACTTGAGTGCTATTGGATGTATGGGTGGGCTGCATCTGGAACGTAGAGGGAAGATGGGCAGGCCAGCTTGGCACAGTGGTCCTCCCCATCCTCTGCGTTGAGGGTGCTCCTGGACATTTGCAGATCTTCATTCTGCTGCACTATTACCTGAGTGTTGTTGCTGGAGGGGGTGGAGTGAATGGACAAGTCGGAAGACATTTGCCACAGGATTAGGTGACACATAAGAGGCTCATTTTTATTGTTCTCTCATTTTACTCTAAGGTTGATTAAAAAGCAGTCAGAGTGTGTTAAAAAGCAGTCAGAGTGTGGGGCACGGAGTCTTGAGTACCACTCCATCTGCTTGCTTGGCCAAAGGAGTCTTCGGAAACCAGAGCTGCACACACTTTTCAGGTGGGGCAAAAACCTACCTCTAGAGGGCAGTGTCTGTGTTGTGGGGACAGTTGCCACCTTTCCTGCTGCCTAGCTGAGAGGGCTGGGRGAACAGGACTCAGCCCAGTTTCTTAAGACTCTTGGATTAATGAGTCAAAAATGTGTGGTATAGCAAGCAMACGAGACTCTCTTCCGTCCCAAATGCCCTCATAGCAGCCTTTGTATCTAGTTGTGATGACGTTTGCTGACTTTCCATACTGTTTGATGAGTTTCTGTGCCCAGATGACATATTCATACTTGAGCTGGTCCATCAAGGATTTACTGACCTAGCACTTTTGGGAAATGCAGAGCCTTTCGTTGTCAAAAAGAGCTGTGTGGCAATTGGAATTGTGATGTGCTAAATCATATTTAAATAGTAAAACCTGCTGCAGAATTTTTATCTTAAAAAACCTCTGTATCAACACCAGTAGAATAAAAGGGTTTCTGCTGTAATTGGGATTCAAAGTAATTATATTCTGTTTTTTTACACTTGTGATAGGTAAAACTTAAGATTGTTAAACATTTTTATTTCCCTATTTTTAGTTTCATCATTTACAACAATAAAAATTGTGGATTGCAATTTGAGATTGTCATATTTGGTGTATTATTGCAAGTTGGACAAGATAATTTGAAATAAGGTTTGAAGTTAACTAAAATATGGAGGTTGAATTTATTCAAAATTCTTACCAAAAGTCTTGCTTAGATGTACAATTAAACTTTGCTTTTTAAAATCTGTGTTTTCCCTAGATTTTTTTATATGATCCCTATGAGTAAGTACATCATCTTAATTACATTATTTCTCATTAGTGGTCATTTTAATTTCCCACATGGGTGACCTACCTTTTCTTGGTTACTGACTGGAGTGCATCACAGTGACAGTGGTGTCTGCCTGCTGCTGGGTGCCCGTTGCACCTTGCTGCTTTATTTCTGTGTATAAGTTGTAGGCTCCATGTTTCTGGACAACAAGGAAGATACACACACACCCATGGATGGATCTGGGCGCTAAGGGCTTGTGGACTACCACTGGGTAGTTAACGGAGGGTCTTCTGACTACAGGTAGACTTTCAGGAGGTGTTAGAGACCAGCTTCTCATTGGCCTTCGCAGGTTTCCCTTGGACCTCTTGGACTTCTTCGTCTTAGCTAATTCTCGAATTTGGATTCTATTCAAGCATTTTTAATTTAAAAATAGTCATATAAAATTACTTATGTTTACATGAAACTTAAAGTTTAAAGGAAAAAATGATTCTTAAGGAGCACTGGACACAGTGTGTAGGCTCTGGGCCTGGGGTTGCCATCAATGGGCTGTGTCTTGGTGGCTCCATTCATCTCCTGGTCCACTCTCCTGGTCAGGGGTGACTTCACAGAGCGCCATTGTTCTCAAAAAGTTGCCATCTAACTCTTGACTTTGGCACTCTGTTCAGGAGATGGAGTGTGTGTTCCCGAGACGGGAAGCCAGGCACACGATGTATCATTTCATTTCTCCTGCTAGAGATTTCAGTGTAGGGATTGCTGCTACCCAGGTGACCTTGCAGCTTTTCAGAATATGTTCTCTGCCAGAGAATTCTTTCCAGAAGAGAGAAAAGAAAAAAAAAAAAAAGTGTATGGAATTCTTCCTTAGGGATCTAGCTGAAATGTGTTATCTGCTGTACTGACCTTAGCAGATGACTTGGATATAAAGAGCATGACTGTTCTGCAGCTCAGCAGTAATGTTTGCATTTGGTTTTGATTTGCAGTTCCTTCTAGGTGGGCTGGAGAGCTAGCTCTAACCTAGACCCTGTGGGAAAGCAGCCATGTCCTCTGTGCAGGAGAGGACAGTTTGGGTTAAGCCTCAGTCTTCTCTGACCACTTCAGTGCAGCTTGACTTACAATTTATTTAGGTGGTGATTGCCAGTTTTAAGGTGACATTTTACATGTACTTTATATATATGAAGAAATACCTATCTATAATGAAAGATCAGATGAAAACTTGTGAGTCGCACACACTGCTTTTATTAATCTAAGCAATAGGTTAAACTGCRTTTCCCATCAGCACTCTGCTCTTTTACACATGCAGTGGTTCACTGGATAGACTACACAATGAACAACTGGGAAAATAATCCATTTCCATCCTTCATGTGGTGTTCACAGGCAAAAACTCCAGRCTGCTTATGAAACTACAGGCAGTAGTAATGAAAAAAGTATTTCTTGGTGTCTTCGCTAACATTTTAAGATTTAGAACTTGACCATGAAATACATATTTGGAAATGATAGAAAATAGTATTTTAGGATGATGCCTTTTTTTCCCTGTAAATCTCAAAGTGACTTCTATATGGATGGTTAAAGAACCACATATGTGTTGTCCCCTTACTCCCTCACCTTTTTTTTTTTTTTTTTTTTGCAGAACTGGAAGTTGAACTCAGTGCCTCACACATGCTAGGCAAGTGTTCTACCCCTGAGTTAACCCCCCAGCCCTGTTTTCTCCCCTTTTAAAAGATGTCCACACAGCCTATTCTTAGTTTTTCTCAAGTGGGTGTTAATGGTAAGGAGCCACTAGTGGCCAGGCTGAATGTAGCTCAGATTCTGAGTGCAGAAAGGCTCAGCGCCTTTGATCCGTGCATAGAGCTCTCATGCATAGAGCGAGGTGCTTATAATGTGGTTCTGTTTGCTTTCCACTGGGCAGGTTACTTCACCCAGCATGTTCTGAGGTGACATAAGTTTTTTCAAAAAGCCTGTGATTTACTTATAACTCCTCAAAAATACCAAGATGTAAAATCCCAGTGCTAAACAGTGAACATTTGCCTTTCTGGGTATTTTACAGATTCACTTAGAAAACTGAGCATGTGTATATTTATTTTTGAAGCCTAAATATTTATACTTGAAGTTGTGCCTATAAGCAATTGAAAGTATAAAGCAGGTTTTAATAAAATGTGTAGAAAATGAACATGTAATTGCAGATACATTTTATTCAAAGCTGTTTCCCTAGCAGTGTGTCCCTCCCTTTCATAGATTTGCCACACCGTCTGGTTAAAGAGTGTGGCACTCACCTTCCCACCGTCTCTATGGGTGAATAGACATAACATTAGAATTCTAGTAGACACGTTGGATAAACTAGTACAGATCCAGGCTACAGTAAATATTTAAAAGATAATGAAAGCAAATGCTTAGAACTTTTTGTTATGACAAGTGAAATAAAACTTGCTCATATCAATATGAAGTGAGGAATAAATGTAAAATTGTTTCTGCTTTTTCTCCCAAGCAAGACTTCTGACTGAAGATCTCCTGATTCTTATGCAATTCAGTTGCACCTGGATTGTTTTCTCTTGAAAAAATATACTTGTATAGCCTTCTTTAAGTTAGCAAATGCCCGAGGGCGATACATCATTTTCCCCAGTACTCTTTCCATGGCCTAAGCAAGAGGCGGAGAAGCAGTGCAGGGCAGGGACTTCAGTCCTAGGTAAGAAAATAGAATGGATTTTCTTGGTTGTGAGTTTTCTGATGTGCTTGGAATTCAGGTGCACAGTGGCAGCGACAGCAGACACCTCAATCCAGGGATGCTAGAGGTTGAGCAGTGGGCTGCTAAGTGGTTCAGAAGAGTGGCTAGGAACTCCTGTACAGGGTACAGACTGTGATGTGACCCATGCAGCTTCTGTGGCTCATGCATTGCCTTAGGATCTATAGTCCTTTTTGCTGTAGGGCTTGTTGCGCAGTATGTTATCAATCTCATTGACCACGTGTGACGTCATCTTTGGGAGAACCTGGGAGCAGGGGAAGAGGTACAAAGTACATGATTAAGACTGGTGAGCATCTGTTTTGTGTTTGGTGCTGAGCAGAGTCGTGTGGACTGGTATAGGTTCATAACCAAGCCCTCTGTTGCACTAAGCTCCTTAAGATCGGGTCCCGTTTATTGACTGAGAGTGAAGGCTCATGGGAATAGAGGGCAGCTCTGTCCAGTAATAACATGTGAGCATGGGTACGTTTTCTAGTGGCTGCCTTAAAGTAAAAAAGATAAAGTTGAAATTAATACATTTTTTACTCATTTGTACCACAGTGGTATTATTTCAACATGAAATCATGTAGAAAAATAAGATACCTTGTTTTGGAGGGTACTCTGCCCTTCAGATCCTGGGAACATTTTACACTTAGAGCAGATTTGCATTTGGATTCATCACCTCACCTTTCTTAAACTCAATAGCCACCATGGCTGGAGGCTCCTGTGGTGGACAGCACTGCCTAGAGACAGGAAGGGCTCCTCCATCTGGTGTTTGGAGCCCTGGTGAAGGATGCCAGGGCTGACAGGCATCCTAGGAGGATGGAAGAGCATGGCAAAGTGGAGTGGAGAGACGGAAAACCGGTGGTGGCGGGTGGGAAGGTAGAAACAGGAGTGGGAAGTGGGTCAGAGCACCATTCTAAGGAGTAGGGATTTTACCCACAGGGCAGCATAACCTCTCCTGGGGCTTCTAGTTTGGGAGGGACCTGGTCAGACACTGGAGGTAGTTTGAGGAGTAAGTTAGAGGAGACCAACGGGGGGACGATAAGACAGTGGCAGGGGAGTGGATCTCAGAGGCTCAGGATGGTGTGAGTTCGAGACTGGCTGGAAGGAGTTTGGTACAGACGGATGAGACTGGCACCAAAGGAGAATTCAGGGAATAAGAAGTTAGGCAGGGTGTGTTGAGGTAGGAAGTGATTCATGGGCAGCTTGGGACCTTTGCCGGACTGGAGTGGAGGACGGATGGCTATTCACACGGTGGTGCACTGAACCCCGGGGAGAGCCAAGCTTGCGCAGGGCCAGCATTTACCATGAGAAGTGGGCTGAGGACATTCACAACCCCAGGACAAGGAACACAGACTGACCCCTGCTGGGATGGTCTGACCCTTCGTGGAGACGTGGTGGAAAGGCCACTGTGCTGGCCGGGCTGAGGTTTGGCCTCAGCCTTCCTTTACGCATCCTGCTGGCCAAGGTGACCTTGTCTCCACTCGCCTGTCCTCAGAGGCCTTAGGGTTTGGCTGAGACTGAAACTGTTGCTTCTGGTTAACGTTTTCCTGTCCGAAGCAAAGGAGTCTGGTTTCCCAGCAGCCCTGGAGCCTCCGAGGCTCTTAACACTCCAGCGTGTGATTTTAGAAGTGAGATTCCAACGGACTGAAACTTAGAAATTGGATTTTTGGGAAGTTTTGTGTCTAAAATGGCTGTGGGCTAGCCCCATGAGGAAGAAATAACTCTTCATTTGTTATACCAAGGTTCATTTCAGATAGAAAAATAAAGTTTAAATGTTAAAAAAGAACCATAAAAGTATGTGGGTAAGACATAAAAATATATATTTATAGTTTTATAAGACTAAAATTTTGAAGAGGAGCTATACTTTAAGAATTTTATATGAGATCACCAGTTTTTTTTTTTGTTTTTTTTGTTTTTTGGTGCCAGCAAACAGTTTGCAGCATCTCAAACTGCTATTTGGTTTGACAGGCATTCAGGCTGACAGTCTGCCCTGGTGTTAACTGGAGTGAGGGAGGTGGGGCTGTCACTGCTGTGGCCAGGGACCAGGCCAGGCCTCCCAGGCCCAGGGGCCTGAATGTGGACCTTGGGTGGATAGGCTTTTGCTGGGCAAAGGTGGTGGTCACTGTGGAGAAAGAGGACTCACCGCTGTCTGGGAAGCAAAGTGCTTCCTAGAGGCTGGAGAAGGCCCCAGGGAGGGTGTGGGTGTGGTGGGGCCATGAGGCCTAGATGTGGGGGCCTGGCTGCCCAGGCCCGGGGATGCAATTCTGTCTACCTCAGGTGGGAGTGGGGAGGCCGGGGACCTGGGCAGGAAGCTGTGCTGTCCCCATTCTCTCATCTTCCAAGGCGCTGTTTCTTTCTCCCCTCCACTTTGGCACACCTAGGCCTATTCCAACCTTTGGAGCAGCTCGTCTTCCCGGCCTACTGGAGATTGCCTCTCCCTGCAGCTGGCAGCGGCTGGCATGCCATGCTTTCCACCCTGTAGCCAGTCCTGCTTCTCCGGCACATGCAGTGCAGGGGGCCGGGTGGTGGGTAGGAAGGGTGGGTTGGCAAGCCTTTGAGCACGGCAGCCCTGTCCTGCTACTGGGCAGAGCTGTGCTGAGAGGAAGCACTTTGGGAAGAATAGCTGGGAATGTGCCCCCTCCCCTGCTGCCTGGCACGGTCCTACAGCCTTCAAAGCYCAGCCCAAGTTCTGGGATGGCATGTCACCCTCTGTTAGCATGACAGGAAGCCTAATTCCTTCCTCCATATTGTCTTTCTTTCCTAAACCTGGAGGATCATCGCTTTTCCCCTCCCTCTCGCCCCGTCTTTGTTCTGCTTCCGCATGGTGGCCACGTGGTGCTCACGTTCAGATGGAAGCACATCCCTTTTAGAACACTCCAAAGGCCCTCTACCTAGGATAGACGCTGACCCTGTGGTCCCACAGGAGCTGGACTGCCTGCCTCTCCTCTTCAGTGGTCCCCCGTCCTCTTTGGGGTTACCGAATTAGCCACACCAGCCTGAGGCCAACCGTGGCTGGGGGAGCCACTTCCCTCCAGCGCAGGCCTTTGCTCTGCTCTGCCTAGGCCTGGAGGACACTCCTGGGCTCTCACGTGCTTTCACAAATGTGTGATAAAGGTGAACATATCCCAGAGGGGCCTTTTGCAAGGACATTATTTAAAGTAGGTCCACCATTTTTCCATTAGGCCATTGCAACATCCTATTTATTTACTTAATATCTTTTTCACAATTGAAGCAATTTTGTATGAGTATTTTTCTGTCTCCTGTTGGAACATGAGCCCCTTGGAGAGTGGGTTACGTGTTTCCTGTGTCCTTTGGTATTGTTCATGCCTGGCACATAGTAAGCCCCTCAGAGACATTCTGCGTGAAGGGATAGATGCCTTAACTCTCAGGCTCCCGCTTGCCGGGCAGAGCTGGTGCTCCATAATTATGAATGGAATTGAAATCTTGGAGTTGAATTTTTGTTCTTTTGTGTACAAAGCATTCCCCATCCCCTCATCATTGTGTGGCTTTAGCTCTGCCCAGTGCGTGGCTGAAAATGAGAGAAGGTGGGTGGCTAAAGAGGGAGCTTATTGGGGGCCAGTGTTGTGGCTCAGTGGTAGAACACTTGCCTAGCTTGCGTGAGGCACTGGGTTCAATCCCCAGCACCACATAAAAAAAATAAATAAAATAAAGGTATTATGTCCACCTACAACTTAAACAAACAAACAAAATAAAAGAGCTAAAAAAAAAGTGGAGATTCATTTAAAAAAAAAAAAGAGGGAGCATATCCTGCAGGGACCCCACAGAATCCAGGAGGAAGTGTGGGGTTGGGCTCTCAGAAGGGTTCTTTTTGTTTTTAATATTGTTTTAGTTGTAGATGAATGCAATATCTTTATCTATTTAGTTTTATGTGGTGCTGAGGATCGAACCCAGTGCCTCACACGTGTGAAGCAGGCGCTCTATCACTGAGCTACAGCCCTAGCCCTCAGAAGGAATCTCGGAAGCAGAGAGATGGAGGTGATTACCTTGCTATATGAGACGGGCAGGCAGCCTATAGCATTGATCCCCTGGCATATTCTGGTACTTTTTAGTACCAGGGATTGACCCCCAGGGACACTTAACCGCTAAGCCACACCCCCAGCCCTTTATATACTTTTATTAGGGACAGGGTCTCACTAAGTTGCTTAGGACCTTGCTAAGTTGCTGAGGCTGGCTTTGAACCCACAACCCTCCTGCCTYAGCCTCCTGAGCTGCTGGAATCACAGGCATGCACCACTGCGCCAGGCTCTGGGCTATTTATAAAGGGTTTCTAAGTACTGATCGTTTGTCTCTAGCTCCACCTGTTTCTCTGTAGGAGAGGTAACAGGGCTGTATGCTTGTTCAGGAGCAGTGGGGTGGGATGAAGCCGGGAGACTGAGCAAGAGGGAAACAGAAGCCTGGCCCTGGCCTGCTAGCAGGTAGTGGCCATGGCAGGGGTAGAGGCAACTCATTCCTAGGGCCTTCAGCAGTGGGACAGGACAGGACTGAGAGCTGGCCTGTGGGGAAGGGAGTGGTCATAACTGACCAACCCCACTTTATCACTAGATAGGAGGCCTGGAACATCCGTGTCCCACCGCCCCCTCCTGTGCCTCTATAGGCTGGTGCAATGCCTGGACTGCAGGGCACCCTTTGGCTCGTTGGGGGTAGGCCTAGGGAAGGAGATGGTCCTCCTGAATTTGCTTCTAGGGAGATGTGATCCTGGAAGTCCAAACTAGAATTTTGAGYCAATTTCTCTTAGAACATGGAAATATTCATTCACTTGACAGGTATTTCTTCACCGATAGCCAAGGGACGTGTGGTKTGCAGGAGACCAGCCAGTCGGTCAGTGGAGAAGTGGGAAAGATGCGAGCCTCGTGGTTACACGCTCCCCCACATGGGCCTGGTCCCCTCACCTGCTTCAGAAGATGGAGAGTGAAAGCACTTAGTGTGATGTAGGGTCAAGCCTAACACCCCCGTCAAGAACTGAAAAGGGCTTACCAGGAAACTGGCCTCAAAGTACCACCTGGTAAGAGTCCAAATGAAGGAGACAAGCTTAGACAGATTTATGGAGCCTATGAAGTTCTCACTGGTGTACAGAAAAGGGAATTAGATGACAAAGGAGGTCCGGCAATGTAGGAAGGTAGGGTGGTGGTGGTTTTGGCTGCCCCGTGGACACCTWTGACAGGTTTTKGGGGGAGGAGGAGGAGGAGTGCAGGAAAGAGAGGCCAAAACATCACGCACCAGCTCTCAGTAGCGTTAGATTCATGTAACGGTGTAACAAGGAAAGTGGCTCTTCCAGAGATTGCAGTTTGTGACAAATGTAAAGGCCAAGGGGGTAAGAAAGGAGTGTTGAGTGCTGTTCCAACGTCCCAGGTACTGYAGTGCAAGTAGGAGCTGTGAGATATAGGACTGGAAGATCAGCAGAGTCAGGCTGTGCATGGGGTGCCAGGGCCAGGGGAACGGGTCAGTCCCAAAGACAGATGTAAAAGCTGCCACAGAAGGAAGCTTCTAGAAGTTCCTATTRACAGAGGCATGAAAGATGGACAGAAGAGAACATTCCATAGAGAAGGGACCAAGAGCCAGGATGGAGCAGGGAGATGGTCTCCTTGTGGTAGACCAGAAGGACCTGCTGTTTTCACTCCATGAGGAGGAGACCTTTTTGTGTGTCAGACACACAGCTGGTTGAAGCATCCTGTGGCTTCCAAAAGCCAATATCCAAACTCCAGTCCTCACCCCTCATCCAGGTCAGATGGTCGAGCATGGGGATATAAAGTGTGCTAGATGAGGGTAGGCCAGGGTGTCAGAGTGTTTGGAAAGGGTCGCCTCATCATCCAGTGTAAMGCAACCTTTTCCTGAAAATGTCTTTCTCTCTCCTGAAAATCTCTCTCTGCTGGAAAAACTACCCGAGAGAAAGGAGGAGACTCATGAAATGGATCAGAAAGGACTGGTCGACTTTGATCCCAATCAGAAAAGACGGTGCCATTGTAATGGAGCACAGGGGACGATGCACTCATCCCAGAGAGGGTGTTCAGCTCGAACCTCTTGATGGTGCCAGTAGTGCAGTAGTGCATGTGAGTGAAGGGCTCTGGTCCTAAGATGCACTGCTTGCTATTGCTGTTTGGTTTGGTTTTGGTACCAGGGATTGAACTCAGGGGCACTCGACCACTGAGCCACATCCCCAGCTCTATTTTGTATTTTATTTAGAGACAGGGTCTCACTGAGTTGCTTAGTGCCTTGCTAAGTTGCTGAGGCTGGCTTTGAACTTGTGATCCTCCTGTCTCAGCCTCCAGAGCTGCTGGGATTACAGGTGTGCTCCACCGTGCCCAGCTTGCTATTGTTTTGTTTTAATTGTTTTTGAACTTGTGATCCTCCTGTCTCAGCCTCCAGAGCTGCTGGGATTACAGGTGTGCTCCACCGTGCCCAGCTTGCTATTGTTTTGTTTTAATTGTTTTTGTTTTGTTTAATATTCTATAGTAGTGCCTTAAAAGTTAAATGAAGAATAAATGCAAATACAAAAGCTCTGACTTCACCCTGTATGTACGATGACTTCAGTGTGCAAGAAGTGGTTTAATACCTGTAAAAACTACTTAAAACAAAAACAAAAACAAAAAAACCCCACAATTGCGGTAACATCTGCTAGGCATAACTTGTAATTGATTTCCGCTGTGTATGTGGACAGATTCAGACTGAAATGCCAGCTATGTCTTGATTTCAGAGTACGACCCTTCATTGTGAAGCTATGAAATTAAAATGGTATTTAATTGGCAGTCAGAAAAAGCTTATTCTGTAGAGGAGTGTTGCTCTGTCTAGTTATTTGAATTAAGCAGGACTCATGTGATGTCTCTGCAATGTGTTGCCTCAGCTGTTACTTGAAGGTAGCATAATGTATGATTTAGCTTGTGGTTTTGGTGAAGAAAGGGTACCTTTCTGAAGAAGGGTTTGTGATGATATGCTGCTTCTTAAGACTCACACTTGTAGAATTGCATTCCCTTCTGTTGTGCCATTTTTAAAAAAAAAATGTATATATACACACACATATATATATAGAAAACTATGGTGACTAGTCCTGGTTACATTATTTTCCCTTCTCTTTGGACCATAGTAAGCCCTCATAGTGAATTCCAGAGCTGGGTCACAGACATAAAAGAGAAGAGACCTGTACATGGAGAGGTAGTCTGCATATAGGAAGGTGTTCCTTAGGTATGTCACAGGCTTACTTTAACCCATACAGTTACCTTGTGCTCCAAGGTAGYTGTATGTGGTGTTGGTGTCTGGCACATGTGTGGAATGGCTTTAATTGCATGTTGAAAAGCCATCATTCTTAAATCTGGATATCAGAATTTAAGCAATTCTTAAAACATATGAATGTCTCCTTAATATGCTGATTACAAACAAAAAAAGAAAACAAACAAAAAATACAACAACCACCTGGAAAGGAAGACACAAGTCTGTGTCCCCAGGGGCCTAGAAGTAGTTACAGCAATTCCATTGTCCTGAATGTAGGATGAGGAGGAAGAAATGCAGGGAGCTTGGAGATCAGAAAGGCGGGCTTGGCACACAGTTGGTTGGCAATAAATATTTGTGGAAGGAACAAGTGAATAAGTGGTGTGTGCCGCGTCCCATGCCTGTCACATTGCAAGCTTGTCATTAGGCAGGCTTCATGTTAGGGCCTGAGGTCAGTTGCCAGGTGCACCTGGGACACGAGTCCCTCAGAGATAGGCCCTGATGAGAAGCGAGCTCTGGGAATTTTGCCTGTTGATCAGCAGAGGACCACTCTGGGTCTGCGAACCCAGGACTTGTTTATTGCTTCTTATGCCTTTGTGCCCACCCCCAGGACAGGTGGGAGAGACAGGACCCACTGCAGGACTTGCCTGAATGGCACCGAGGTTTTCGATGAGCTGCTCGGGAGTGGATGATCCCAGAAGCACGGAGCTCACGCCCTCGTTCCTCAGGCACCACGCTGGGAAGAGATGAAGAAGATGTGGGTCAGGGTGTCACAGAGCTCACAATCACCAACTATAGCGAACACCAACCATAGCCAAGCTGGTGGCAGCTAAAACTAACTTTTCCTGTGGAGGATACACAGTGCTCTGGGGCTAAACACCGAACAGCACCCCTGCTACAGAGAAGGTGGATGGAATCTGTGTACTTGCCTGTGGGTCTAGGGCTCTTCTGCCTTCTACCTGTGGCTTGGCCCCAGTACTGGGGTGTCTATCCCACTGCCCACCCTTAAAGCACATTCTTCTCCTGCCTTAACATTTGGTGGGTGGTCTTGCTTTCCTCCTCTGTTGCCTGCGGTCCTCCTAGACCCCAGGGTCTGGTCCCTTCATTTCCACTTACCTGCCAACCTTCTCTGACACTCCTGTGTTGATTATCAAATTACCCTTAAAGCCCCACTTTTAATTTTTCTCTTTCTGCTCTGGGGACTATTATGGTTTTCTTAAAAAAAAAAAAAAAACAAATGAACAACTTTATTGAGGTAGAATTTACAAGCCAAAAAAGTTACGTATTTAAAGTGAACATCAAATGCTTTTTAATCCATTGCCTGCAATGTGGGGCCCGCGGCCTCTGCTTCACTGCCTGGGCACCCTTTGAGATTCCCCAGGGGAAATGCCTTCCTCCCCAAGTCCTACCTGAATTGCAAGTGGGGTTGGGTGTCCTGCTCTTCACTTCCCTGGCTGCCCATTCCCTTCCCAGTACTTTGACACTGTATTCAAACTATCTGTTTGTTTTCTTGACTTGCCCACCAGGCTGTGAGATGGGCTAATTGGCAGTTGGATGCCCAGCATCCTGCTCAACACCTGGCACATAGTAGCACTTATTAAGTGTTTGTTGAATAAACAGGCACGGATCGTTGGAGCACACCCTGGCACTTCTTCTGCCCCATTTGCTCCAGGCCCTGCTGTCTGCCGACTGATACTCGTAAGAGTCACCATGCCTTTTATGGCAATCACTGTCTTTTCCATGCGGTCAAGAGAGTGCTCTGTGAAGGTAGCAATCCAAGTGATCTGTCCTGCACCTCTTTTTGGCTTCATTATTTCCTGTTTGCACTTGTAACTCTCCTTGGCCCTAGTGGTGCTCTGAGTCTAATGGGGCCCTGGGCAAATCACTGCTCAGAACTACCTGATGTCAACAGCAGCTGGTTCCCCTGCAGGCTGCAGGGCAGCCAAATCACCAGGCAGGGCTGGCTAGCCCCATGGCGCCACCTTCAGGTGATTCTGGGTACTAGCATCCTGCACCACAGTTAACAGCAGGCACATTCAGGGTGTTTGCTTACTGCACCCAGGATGGGTGTTGGCCTGGGTGCAGGTGTGACCTGGGGATCTAGTAGTTTACTTCTTGCCAGAAGAGCTCCCCTCCCACACCGTCCTTGCAGATCAAAGGATTTATGGCTGAATATCACTTCCCTTTTGGTTCTGAAAGTTCTGTGGTTAAAACCAAAACTACTTGTTTATAAAGAAAGAAGAAAAAAATGACAGGCAAGAAAGACATCTGGGGGCATAGAGGGAGGAAAAGGGGGAAAAGCATGTTTTAATTTAAGTCAGACTTGTGCAGAGGATCTTTCCTGTATGTCTAACAACCAGTGAAAGTCTGAATTTTATGAAGATTTCCTCCAGGAAGACGGTGTTTTTCCATCTCTTTCAGAACTAAATTTAAAGCTGTTGGTCTTTGTTGTTCTTGCGAAATTGGTTCCGGGCACTCCCCTTCAGGACACAAAAATCCCAGGACATTCAAGTCCTTTGTACAAAATGGCAAGCATCTGCACGCACGTCCCAGGTGCTTTAGGTCACCTCTAGCTGACTCTTGTACCTAACACCATGCACGTGGGTGGTCAAATCCATGGGTGCAGAGACAACTGCTCAGTTCATATTGCCATCAAGAACACACTGATTGCAAAATGCATTTCTCTCTGCATTTACTCTGGCCACGTGCCAGGCTAGGAGCGGGGAGAACATCAAGTCCAGGGTGTCTAGTACATCTTCCTCACCACTTACTGAGCAGCTGCCTACTCCTTGCTTTACATATACAATTTCCTGCAACTCAGCAAGTTTGTAAGAAATGTATTGAAACCATTTTATCAGGTTGAGTAACCTGACTTGGTCAAGTGACTGGTATGTTTTACTTTGCTTGTTAAAGCTGTAGAGATGTAGCTAATCACGTTAAATATATTCTTTATATTTACTTATTTTTTATGGTGCTGGGGATCAAACCCAGGGCCTTGTGCATCCGAGGAAGGCACTCTACCAACTGAGCTATATCCCCAGCCCCTATTCTTTGATTTTTAAAACTATTTTTTGTTGTTGTTATTTTTTTTTTTTATATATAGTAATGGGGATTGAACCGAGGGCCTCCTGTATGCTAGGCAAGTGCCGTATCACTAGGCTATCTCCCTGGCTCTTCTTTGATTTTTTTTTTTTAAAGATGGGATTAAGCAAGTCATATTTAGGCATATGGTATTTCCTCTCTCTAAAACCACCTCCCATTTCTGTTTTTCTGTTTCTGTTAACTGCAACTAACATTTCTCTGACTTCTAACCTCAGAAGGGTCAAGGCACTAGCAAATGTTCTATTGGATTATTTTACTTGTGTAGACCTTATCACGGGCTTTGGGTCACTGTACCTATTTGTCCCAATTCCTGTCATTCCTTCATCCATAGGATATTTTTTTTTGGGAGTGGCATGCATTTTCCCCCTCTCTCAGTTACCATGTGAATTCTAGCAAGTCCTCGGTCTATGTCTGTGAGCTAGGGCTACCGCAGTGCACCTCGCAGGATCGTTTTAATGACTGAGGAGATGAGACAGTGCATACTAAGTGCTTGTTGTGCTGCCTGGCAAATACCTGCAGTCAGAACTGAGAGCCCACACGCCTTTCTGCCCAAAGTGTAGCCATTAACTATGTGGGACTGTTGAGTGTTTGAGATGTGTGGAGCCTGAACTGGAATGTGCTGGAGGTGTAAAATATCTCAGTCATTTAAAGAAATGTATTACAAGCTGAAATAACATATACTGTATATTGTAGTAAATAAAATCCATTATTAAAATAAATTTCACCTGTTTCCTTTTTCCTTTTTCATTTTTTTTTGATACCAGGGATTGCTGTACCACTGAGCCACATCCCAACCTTTTTATATTTTTAATTTTGAGACAAGGTCTCACTAAGTAGCTTAGGGCCTTGCTAATTTGCTGAGGCTGGCCTTAAACTTGCCATCCTCCTGCCTTAGCCTCCCGTGCTTCTGGGATTACAGGTGTGCACCACCATGCCCAGCTCTGTTTTATTTTTTAACTATGGGTCACTAGCAACTTGGAAATTGAGTATGTGGTTTGTATTATCTTGCTTTTGGACAGTGCCATCCTATGTGGCTTTCAGTTGTGACCGGTGACCCTGAACTTTGATGCACTCCATGTACAAAGCCACCTCTCTGGGTTAGGGAGCCCTGGGCCTCAGTAGCAGCTGTTTCTCACACCAACCCTGGCTCTGCCTCAGCAGGGGAGGAAACCCGACCAGTGGGATGTGGGTGTCACTCCACAGTTCACCTCTGACTCTGGTGAGGACGCCTGTGTTCCCACTGACCTCCTCTCATCTGAACTGCGTTCTAAGCGGCCGGGGTAAAGAGGTGAGAAAAGTAGTTTTGCATATAGAAAGTTCTGGGGAACCTGGAGGACTCACTTTATGTTGTATTTAGCAGGAATTTACGCCTCTGAATCTGTCTGCCCCTATAGGAGACACTTCTGCGAAAAGGGGCTGTGGGTCAGCAGTAGAAAACAGGGAGACCCCCCAGACACCCCCAGCAATCTCCTCACCGACTGCAAGCTGAGGCAGTGTGCACCCCAGGCGCTCAGCGATGGGAGAGAGGTCCTTCAGCTTGTTCTGCTGCTTCCTGCCTTCCTCACTGACGATCCTTTCCTTCAGCCACTGGTAGCACTGGGGAGAAGCACAGCGGGGAAACATTTCAGTGATAGTGTCTGGTGGGGACGTGACCTCGAGGGTCATAATTCAACCAACTACAAGACCCTCGGTGAATCCCGGGTCGTCTTGACCCCTGTGCTTTGCAGTGAGAAGACGCTTATGTTTCTATGCAAAGAGATAGATGTTCCCATGACCTTGATCCTGTTCCCTGGTTCAGAAGATCAACTTCCACTCATGTTCACCATGCACGTTGATCAGAGGGCACAAAGCTCTAAAAATATGGACACGGAGATGTAGGCAGGTGGACCCTTGTCTGCCCAGGAGAAGAAAGGCTTAGTGAGGTAGCCCAGTTTTAGAATGTCGCAAAAAAAAAAAAAAAAAAAATGGAATTGACATTTTACCCAGGTCTATGCTGTTTCCCTGATGGAGAAGGCGGGTTGCCAAGTTTTCTGCTTAAACAAACAAACCACCTTACATTCTCATCTCCTCTCCTGCCTGGGGTCCACTCCTAACCTCCACCTCCTTGTTTAAGGAGACTGACTGGTGGCTTCCTCCGCTCCTAGAAGCAGATGTAGTATACCCGACAGACGTCAAGCACATTTAAAAATTCTGAACTGGGTAAAGACTTCCCCAAATGTGTGTTGYCTATCGTGTGAACTACGAAAACGTAAAGAGTAAAGGCATTTGACATTTCAAACCGGTGGGAAGAACCTGACCCTGATCTGTAGACTGTGCAGGGAGCCTCATTTCCTAAACATAAAAGTCTTTGAGAGCTTCTCAATGCCCTACTTTCTAGAAGGCTCTGTTCTCACTGTGAAGGAGGGAATAATAGTTCCTTCCACACAAAGCTAGYTCTAAGCAGCAACTCCCAAAGCAAAAGAACATGAGGAAGAATGTTAGCCTGTTTTTGTGAACATAAGAGAAAGTCGTCACGCCGCGGCAGTGTGGCCCTTCTTTCTCTGTGGCATGTCTGTGACATCACTCCCAGCACAGACTGCCACTTCTGCAGAGGCAGCAGAGAGCCGTGGTGGTGGTGGGCCACGGCACCCCGTCCTCCCAGAGGGCTGCGGCCTTTTAAGTATTCTTTTCATTATTCTAAGAGTATTTCTGAAGCAAAGGGAAACCGCCTTGTTTTGTTGTGATTTTTGGAATAATTTTGCAGATGCAGAAAGAAGGGCAAGCCGCCCCAGTGCCGTCGCCTCCTGGATCTCAAAGGCTTATGGTCTGGCTCCTTGCTTGAGAATTTGCTTGGGGAAACGGCCAAGAGTTTTCCTGGCTTCTTCCAGAGGAAGGTGGCCTGGAGCTTCTCTCCAACCATGACAGCGGGTGCCAGTGGTGGGTGGACAGCTGTGCACAGTGAGCCCGCGATCTACCGCTGGCCCTCCTGGACCAGGGCACTGCCACATCAGGGAGCCCTGGATGACTCACTGCCCATGGGAAGGACACCAGTGCTCGCTGAGGCCTCAGAATGCCTTCCCGGGACCAGCAGCTCGCAATGTCGTCCAAATAGAAAACAACAACAAAAAAAAGATTTGCAAATTCTATTAGACAGGGCAGAGGGGTGTGAGGGGAAGGGAGAGGACAGGGGGTTATTAATGATGGTAGAATGTGATGGTCATTATTATCCAAAGTACAGGTATGAAGACATGAGTTGGTGTGAATATACTTTATATATCAGAAATATGAAAAATAGTGCCCTATTTATATACATCAGAGATATGAAAAATAGTGCTCTATATGTGGAATAAGAATTGTAATGCATTCCGATGTCATAGATAAATAAAAACATTAATTAAAAAATGTTAAAAATATTTAAAATTCAGTGTTTGCTTTATAAATATGAAGTTTCTCCTTGATGTTATTCATGTCAATGAAAAAAAGTCTATCATGTTTTTCAAAACATGTCCTTCTTCAAAATTAAAATGTCTGTTATTTTAATCAAAAACAGATTTGCAAATTAATAGACAATGATTTTGAACAATAGCTTTTTATTACAACTAGAAGAGTTCCTGAGGTTTCTATATATGCTGTGCACATAAAAAATTGGTTGATTTATTCATCAATCTTATCAAACTCCTTTTTTTGTGTGTGTGGTGCCAGGGGTCGAACCCAGGTCCTCACACATGCCAGGCAATCACTCTACCACTCGGCTACATCCCCAACGCCTGAACTCCATTATTTTTATTTATTTATTTATTTTTGGTATCCGGGCTTGAACCCAGGGGCACTTAACCACTGAGCCTCATCTCCAGCCCTTGTTTATATTTTATTTAGAGACAGGTTGTCTGCTGAGTTGCTTAGGGCCTTGCTAAGTTGCTGAGGCTGGCTTTGAACTTGAGATCCTCTTGCCTCAGCCTCCCAAGCTCCTGGGATAATAGGCATGTGCCACTGTGCCCTGCCTGAACTCCATTTTTGAAATCCTACATACAATGGAGTATTTTTCTTAGGATTGGGTTCCAAGTTATGTGTGTGTGAATGCATAGATATGAATTTTGTATATTATGCACACACACCATACTGAGAGACAGACTTCTGAAAGTAATAAACATCAAGCTTATTTATTGAATACCTCTCTTTCACCCTCAGTCCCATGAATCCCCCTCAGGGGAATCTATAAGGCAGTTAGGATTTTAAAATAGTAGGTGCACAGTGTTTATACTGCTTTCTTCACATCAAAACAAGCAAAAGTATTTTGGAAATAAACAGCTTTTAGCCAGGCATGGTGACAGCCTGTAATCCCAGTGACTCAAGAGGCTGAGGCAGGAGAATTTCAAGTTTGGGGCCAGCCTTGGCAACTTAGTGAGGTCCTAAGCAACATAACAAGACCCTGTCTCAAAATGAAATAAATAAATAATAAAAAAGGCTGGAGATGTGGCTTAGTGGTTAAGCACCCCAGGGTTCCATTCCTGGTACAAAACAAAAAACAAAACATCAGCTTTAACTGCTCTAAGTAAGAAAATGTTGGCAGAAGGAGATGAGGCTTAATTGAAATGTTGACTAAACATGGGAGTGGACCGCTCTTCTGAGGGAAGGCTGGTGGGGCTGTGGCTATGAGGAGAGTCAGCCCAGCTTGCTGTTGTGGGCATTAACCGGGGGATTGAGATGAAGTCTCCTCCAGCCCTGTTTGGACACTTGTCCCCTTGCAGGCTGGCCTTCCTAAACTGAAGGAGCGAAGGCCAGGAGGGCTTCTTCATCTGCGGCTTCAGTCCTGACCGCAAGCTGCTCAGAGCAGGGGCTTGGCCAGCATGGCAGTGAAACCGGAGAGGCCAGACTGCACAGGGTGAGCTGCCCCGGTCAGCCTTGCAGACGGAGCCAGACGCTACTCCCCAGGGCGGGCGACTTTGCCACAGTCCTGGGGACTCCACCATGATTGTGTTCATAGCTCCTTCCTGAGTCTGACTCTCTAGCAAGTTCCTGAGCTGTGGCTTGCGGTCAAGACTGCCCCTCCACCCCTGCATCTTCAACACGCAGCACAGGGGTGGGCCAGGTCGATGCTCAATAAATATTTGTCAAAGAACCAATGAGACGAGCCTTATCCACACTTTAGCTAATGGGCTAGTAAACAGGTCACATGGCTCTGAACTTCCCAAAGCTGTGTCTTTGCCCTCCCCAGCACTAGGGTCACCACCCCTGTGTGCCCCTTTCATAGGTAACGCTGCTGGGATGCGAAGAGCCTGTGACACCCTCCCCAAGACCCCTCATGGCCCTGGTTCATCCCCATGGGGGCTCGGCAGGAGATGCAGAGCCGTGTCCAGACCTTGTCTGGATGATTTGGTATCCAAGATGATCGGCCAGTTCTAAGCATCCAAGTCTTTGACCCAAAGCAACAGAGTCTTTGCTGTTGAGGTTGAGATCTCCAGGTAGAACGTCAGAGTTAATGGAAATGTGCAACACACTAGGTCTCCCCATGCGACCACCTGTCCCCAGGACCCTTCACTCTACCTCCATACACCTGGGTTGCCGTTCCCTCTTTTCCTTTGACAAATGGGTGCATATTTTCAATTTCTTTCTTTCTTTTCCTAAAAAGCATTTGGCTAGCATCAGGGAAGAGCTGCCCATAAATTTCATTACACTGTTCATTTCTATTTAAAATTTCTACCTCGACCGCACAACTGGTCTCTGGATCCTACTTTGTGGACCTTCCATTTTGATTCACTGCATTTGTCTGACATTTACTGAGCTCCTGGCTCTGTGATGTGCCAGGTTCTGTATGAGTTCTTCAGTTTCCTTCTGGAAGTATCTGCAGATCATCATCCCGTAACAGGAGAAGTGTTTTGTGGTTAGCCCCTCCCCGCTTGATGATTCTATTACAGGCCATGTTGAAACTGTCACCTTCTGGAAAGTACCCCAGCAAAATGTGTACGACCTGAGCTGATCACAGCCCTTTGCCCTCCTGGCCCCTGTTGTTGGCCTCACAGGTTGGCATGTGACCTAACCCTGGCTAGTCCTGTCTGGTGTGCAGTTGGTAAAGACCTCTTATCTCTTGGTCCCATGCCCTTAAGGGTTAAATCTGCAGCCATCAGTTCTCATGCTCCAGGCTTCACGGACAAGATCTATGTGTAGTAGAAGAAGATGATCCCGTGTTCAGAGACACGGCGGAGCTGGAGAGTCATGTTCAAGTCCACAGGTAGAGTCTCCACGGGGCCAGCCTTGCTCCAGCCTTCCCAAGGCGTCTCCCTGAACAAATGGAGCTCCCCTTGGATTTGGCTTGTTTGCCTTGAATTCTGTCACTGGCAGCTGGACATGCTAGGCAGTGTGTATGGTGACAAGGGCAAGGCCCCGGTGACAGCTGGTAGCTATGGTTTTAGGGAAGAGGAGGGTTTCAGAGGAGGATGGAGAGAAGGCAGAAAGTGCAGAGAGTACAGCGTGTTTGGATGGAAACCTGGTAAGAGGTGAAGAGAATCCGCCCAAACTGGGCAGGGAGAGTCAGGTGTGGGCTGCGGGACTYGAGCCCTGTTGGACGGGCGAGGGAGGAAAGGACGCCTCTGAGATAATGCCCTGGCTCCTGACTGGCTCTGTGGTGAGGACAGAGTCCATTAGGCACGACTGCGCCCAGGCGACTTCCACGTGGAACTGTCTAATGGACCAAAGCAGTAGTGTGTGCCACTCAGCTGGGTAGCCAGAGCTGTCCATGTGGTTCAGAGGTCACTGCAGGGTGAAGGGCCAGAGAGGCTGCCCAGAAACCTCTAAAAGCCATGTGGGGGTACTCCTTGTGTGGAGTTGATTTGTCCTTCAGCTGTAGTTAAGTGCTTATGACAGGCACAAAGCATTACCATCTTATTTCATGGGTGTGACGAGAGCCAACGTGAGATTTGAACCACTTACCTGTTCTGTTTTAGGGGACTTGAGAGTTGCCAACTTATTTTATCTGTGTGCCCAGTTTCCTCTTTCTGTTTTCCTACTGTGAGCATCCCAATTMATTCCTAAGGCTACCCTGATGTTTGCTTCTTTGTTACTAATTTTTACTTTTTGCTTTGGTAGCTCTACTCGAGTGGCTTTCCAAAGTGGTTGATAATTCAGAGCCTTGAGGCCTTAGGGACCCGCTGCCTTTCACTCTCTGAGAGCTGTGAATGTTTTCTGTCCAGGGCATCCCAGTGGATACCAAGTGGACTATAAAAGCCAACAATGGAAATCTTTCCCAAGTTACTTTTGGGCTTTGCCACCTTCAAACATTTTGTATGTCCATTTTTTTTGTTTGTTTGTTTGGTTTTGTTTTCCGTTTCCTTTTGTGGACGTATGGAAGCTTTTCCAACCGTTTGCAAGCTTTTTCCCAAGYCGTGATAGAAGCTAGGCAATCACACTCCTAATACAGAGTAGCTACTTCTTTCTATAGAAATCTGGATCAGAGACTAGGGTTCCCGCATCAGCTTCATGGGTATGGTTTATGTCTTGGGTGGATACTGATGTCTCTGTGCTCTCATTTCTGTATCTGGAAAAGGTCTACCCTCATACACCATGAACCTGAGAGCAAGTGCCCAGCATACACAGAAGTGCTTTGAACTTTTCAGAAAGCCTGAGAAAGAAAACCTGCTCGGTCCCCAGCTTTTGAGGGTTCGACTGAGGATTTCTCACCTCCGTGATGGTGGGCTCATACAACTTTCTGTTCTTTAGTAAATTAGAGATCCCACGCTTTATTATAAAAGAGCCTTTGTGTTAGATGATTTTGTCACCTTGAAGGTAGGCTGGGCTRAGCTGTGCTGCTTGGTAGGTTAGGTGTATCCAATGCAGTTTTTTTGCCCTGGGACATTTTCAATGAGCGAGTTTATCAAGTCTGTGAGTCAAGCGACTCCTTACAGCAATTTGGCTTAGCTGCAACTGACTCAGAGCCACCTGTGACCGCTTTCTGTGCCATTGGTAAAGACCTCTGTGAATGGAAACACAGCCTGTGCCTGGCACATAGTAGGTGCTCCGTGAAATCGCACTTCTCGATTCTCTCTTCCTTCTTCCCCAAGGTGCTGTTGGCTTCTCTCGGTTCAGAACGTGGCTGGCTTTTCAGAAGCAGACTTTGTTCTCTGACAGTTCTGTTGTGCTAGTACAGACTGGGACCAGGGCCACGTCAGCATGTTAGGAGGTATTTATACTGTGCCACTTTAGAGGACAAACAAACTAAAGCTCAGCTGTCACAGGCAGAAAGGAAAGTGAAAGACGCAGAGCCTGCAGCAGCCCCTCCTGGGTGGKGGTGAGGGTGGGGGTGGGAAGACCTCAGTGCTGCGGCTCTGCTGCTCCAGGTGCATGTGGGCTGGGTCGGGCGGCCGGCTGCCCTGCTGCAGAATATGAGTGAGTGGAGGCAATCTTGTTCCCTAATCTTGAACACCCTTATGCCTCAGCACAGAGGTTAAGCCACAAGTCTCAGMGGCCAGATTGCATCTGCACAGGTGCCAGTCATAGAGCCCAGAGAGAGGGGCTTAGCCATAGTGGATCCCCTGAGGCCCTCGCTCCTTACCCTGGCCCCCAATGCACAGAAACCTGAACCAACCTCAAACCACACTCAGCTACAACTCTTGCCTCTCGTGGCTTAAGCCTCCACGGCTTAAATTTTGTTTTGTCAAGAAAAGGAGAATTAGATCCTCTTACATGGAAAGAGGATTTAAAATTTTGTCAGTTTTCAAACAAGGAATGAAAAGCCTTCTTTAGCATAAGTAACTGTAGGGCTTTGAGCCCTACAAGTCCAACCAGGTCACTGGATGCTGCTCTTTCCCTGAGTCCCCAGAGGACAGCTCTCTGTGCAGGCAGATTCTGAAGGGCTGACTGGAGCCTGGCAGCAGCGGAGGCCTCTGGAGGAACTGACAGAGGCCAGGACGGCCAAGGCCAAGGTGTGCCTGAGCTGGGAGGCCCTCCCTGCCGTGGGCCGTTCTCATCACCCCTTTCCCTACCCCCAGACCCTTGCAGGAGGTGAGAGAAATACCTTCAGAGAAGCCCTGGAACTTTCAGGCACGCCGTTTCCATATTTCCCTGAGATGATTCCGCAGGCAAGTGGGGACCACGTCATGGCGCCAACCCCTGTGGAGGGAGCACATGGAAAGTTGCTCATGCAAACTGGGGTTAAGGGAGGAGGTGGTGGGTTTGGGGGAAAACTGGCTGAATGCATCAGTTAATGCTGGCATACATCTTTCCATCACAATTTAGGGATTAACAAATTGTTTCATGCTTTTATAAACCAACCAAATGTGCACTGTCAGTTCTTGGGAATGAGCCACCTAAGCAGGCCTAAAAATGTGGCTTTGCCATGTTCTTTTTTTTTTTTTTTTTTTTTGGTGGTGCTGGGGATTGAACCCCTGGACTTGTGCATGTGAAGCAAGCACTCTACCAACTGAGCTATATCCCCAGCCCTTTGCCATGGTCTTTTGATGTCCAAAATTCATGGATAGAGGTGTGGGCACTTCTACTTGCACTAACTTCGGTGCTTCCCTGGGCTATTCTGTGCCACTGTGTGGGAACACAGCGCCTAATGCACAGTGAACACTCAGTAGGTAACAGCAGGTGACAGCAATAACAACAGTTATCACTGCTGTTGAACTTTTATCCTTTTATTTTTAATACCCAGAATTTTCCTGCCATTTCTGAGGAGGAAAGTGAACTCTGGAAACTGTTTTGGTCTAGAAACCTGAATGTGACTTGTTTGTGTTTCTTTTAACGTCCACATTTCTTTTTATTAGACACATATTTTTCCCTCACTCTGAAATTATTTCCAAACAAACATGTAGTGCCTGGCTTATTAATTATCATCAAATTCCCTTCACCTAACTCAGTACCAGGCATAAGTGATTTTTTTCACTTGTTTTTTTCAGTTTTCCACTCTTGAGATGCATGCCTGGGCTGGAGCAAGCCCTGTGAAGGATGAGTTTATCTGTTAGTTCTTCCCCTCATTGTGGATGCATTTGTGTGTGTGTGTGTGTGTGTGTGTGTGTGTGTGTGTGTGTGTGTGGTGCTGGGGATTGAACCCAGGGCCTTGTGCATACAAGGCAAACACACTACCAACTGAGCTATATCCCMAGCCCCTGGATGCAGTTTTTTGAACACCTATGGAGTTCAGTTTGTATGCCAACCACAATTTATGACTCCACATTGTGAGACCAACCTTACATGTGACTGGGTCACACTCCCTAGCTGGGTGCTGAGGTGCTCAGTTGCACAAATGTGGCAGAGCTTTCTCCACCCTTCTTGGGTGTGAGGGTCAGTGTCTCCTGCATGGGTGTGTCTTGCTACAGYCCCATGGGTGGAGCTATACTCACCTGTTCCTTTRTAATATAACCCCTTGCCCTGTTTAGGATAGAATCATCCATGGAAGTGCCTTGTGTGTGTCCCCTCCTCTTATTGTGCCCTTGGGTGTGGCCTACCCAGGTGTCAATCATCCTGCTGACAGTGGACATCATGAAGATACTCAGCCCCCTGAAACCTGACCCCTTGCCTCATTGGAATAGCTTCTCCTCAATAAAAGGGGTCAGGGTGTGCTGTCGCTCTCTCTTTCTGCAGACCCTTAAGGTCAGAGGAGCCGTCACAACGACCCCAAAGAAAAAGGTATTTGTGTCTCTTGTGTGGTTATTTTTCGAAGTCCAGTCAGCCCAGTTTTATTGGAGTGACCCCTGAGCCTTTTAGTCTCCAGAACAGAAACCCGGCACCACATGGCTTTCATCAGGGATCCCCTGTGGACTAGAAACAGGCACATTTGATTCTACCACAGTCTCTGGGATGAGCAGTTCTTTCCATCCCTATGTTAATTAGGGACACTCAGGAAATCATTTGACMGGGACTTTTCAGAATCCCTGATTCCCCAATTGTTAAACACACTCAGTAGTTGCAATTTTGACGATTACCTATTTTATGGTAGAGCTCTGGCAGTTGGACCTCCACCTTCTCTCTCTGGAAAAGATGATACTCAGCTTGTTCACACACGGGCGGGATCATATTGAATTGCCTGGCTACAGAATAGGCTTCCTAGGGAGAAAGGAGACGCAGCAGGTGACGTTTCCCTCATGGAGGTCAAAACAAGGAAGGGGTAGGGTGGCAAATTATAGGTGAGGTTCTGACCATCAGTTCATGAAGAGCAAGGCTGAAAGGGGGGAACTGTTATCCTCTGGGAAGATTTGGATCAAGTAAGGTCCAGGGAAAATCAGTCCAACTGTGAATTATGGACTATTATAAAGAAAAGGTAATTTGACTCTTTGCAGGTTCCTAAAGAAATAAAAAGTAGATTAACATAAAACTGTAATCTGTAATTAGTGTGTTATAAACAGGATTGTCATTAATATAGTCTTTTTTAATAAGAAAACTAGAATACTCTGTTCTTATATCGTTAGCTGTCACTTTGCCCTCCTGAAACAAAAGAGCATGCTACAACATGATTCCTGTTAGAGCCCTCAGCCATCTCTTTAAAGATAGAATCGATCCCACAATTCCACTGCCATATTTGACTATGAGAAGTTTGCAAAAGACCCCACCTCCAGGCATGGCATCTGGAGAACAGTGAGGTGCTCCGTGGCATTGAAAAGCGGAAATTAACCTACCATGATCTCCATGGCGCTCCACCTGGAGGTGCCCCAGTACATCGCCATGCCTTGGTTTATCACATGCGTCATGGCTCGGACGATTTCTAAGGAAGGCCAAACAGCATCCTGTGAGTTTCTCTACTTCTTAAAGTTACATTTCCCCCCRTCTCCAAAGCTTGGAAATTTACTTGTTTGATCAATACAATTAGTCTGGCATCGGTGCCAACATGATAATCTATGCAACACGCAACCTTGGTGGTCTAGAGGGTGACAGTATTTTGGGGAAAACTGACATTTCATTTTTGGTTTGCAGCAACAACACTAAGTGGTATTAAAAGCTCCTCTTTTACTGGTGTTGCTTGCTGCTTCTTGATCTGATAGAAGAACTCTYGATGAATCTGTACCTAAACCTGAGTACCCTGCTCTGGTGTGCGAGAAGCCAGGGAGAGCCCTTGTTTTGACTTTGCAGGYGGCAGGTCCTTGAGGACAGCAGACCTGCCTTGTGTGTTGGATTTGCAGCGCTGGGCCCCACACCGAGTAGCTGTTTAATAGAGATGACTCAATAACAATGTGTTTAGCAGAAAGATAAACATATTAAATGCTGAACGGACAGCTGAAACCTCAGGGACTCCAAGCTCACAGGGCCTCRCCCTGTTCCTGACCACTTTAAGCACACTGTGCTAAGAAACCCATGTCACTGATGTCCCCAGGGCCTCTTTGCTCATCAGCTGTTTCAACTTGATGTCACATTTTCTAGCCAAGAATACGCATCAGCACTTGGGGCTGAGCTGATCCTCTGGGCACCAGCCAGCCTTGATGCAGCACCAGGGAGCACCGAGAGACTCAGGTTCAATGGAGCGGGAAGCACACAGGGTTGGATTTGGTCCACAGCCAGGTCAGCCAAGCTCCCAGGGCGCAGGGACATGTGACATTTTCAGTTGGTCACAGGCCTTGGGCTTCTTTGGGTCCCAGGAATACCCAGAGGTTAAAGTGTCCTTCAGAAGAACTGAACCCCTGTCTCAAAGCCATTATTCTTATTTTTATTTCTCAGGAGCAAACCCTGCTTGATCTGATAGGGGACAGGATTAGGAAGTAGAAGGCCAGGGTCAGGGGTCTTCGGTTCTTGGTGGTTGGCTTCTGTCAGCTATTTTAAGTTGCCCTCATTTCTCTGCTTGGAAGGTGGGAATGCTTTCATTTGCTGTTGTCTGTCCAACAGGGGTAGAACTTGAACTAGAAGCTAAACATTTTTCTTTCTTGGAGAAAGTCTCCCAAATATCAGATTTTACATAGCAACCAAACTATGAAGTTTATTTTCCCTTATTGAACAAATATGAAAAAAAAAAGTTAAAAGAAACTGTTTTTCTTCTCTTTTAGTATACAAATGAACACCGATCCACTTCTCTGGAGCCTGAAAACCCTGATTTGAACCTCTGCCTAGATTAGACCTCTCCACCGTTGCGCCAGTGCCCCTTCCTCCTTCAGAGCTGGGAGTTCCTCCAATCAACAGGATTTATGAGGAGCCTGCTGTTCTGGGTGCTGGTGAYGCTGTGGTTAGCCAAAAGTGTTGGAAAAACTCCAGAGAAGTTCACAGACAATAAACCGAACCAAGACTCTTCTGTCTGTCTCTGMAATCAAGGAAACTGAGCCCAGAACACTGTCAGGTGTCCTGGCCATATGGGGGTCATTAAAGGCCTGGACCAGGGCTGGGAGGGTGGAGTGCARCTGAGACTCTCGTTCAGCACACACATTCAAGAACTGAGTCTGCAGGACACCAGGCCAGTTGATATGAGGTTGTCAGACAGACACAGAGGCCCTGGACACAGCCAGCTTAGAGCTGAGCAGGGAAGCCAGAGAAGTAGACAAGCAATTAGAAAATGCAAAGTACTATGAAGGAGACATAAGAGGGCTGAGATGGGGAATGAAGGGGAGACCTGTTTAATACTGGCAAGTGTGACCTCACTGAGGAGTTGAGGGGCATAAAAAGGAGCCAGTCATGGAGAGCATGGAAGAGCATTTTAGGAAGATGGAAGAGCATGTGGAAGGACAGAGTGAATGCCAGCAGTTGGAAGGAATTCACTGGAAAGAAGCCACATGGCGGGAGCCCAGTAAGGAAGGACAGGWGTATGAGACAAAGTCTGAGAAGGCAAACTATGTTATTTGTATGTTACTCAAAGTTTAATGGCATTGYTGATTATTTTTTTAGGCAAAGGAATGGCACATCTTGTCACCCTAGTTCCCATTTCAGAACACCACCTCTGCCTGTGCTGAGAACCTGCGTGAAGGGGAGGCCTGGAGGAGGCCAGGGAATCTCGGGAGGGMCTGCAGCGTTCCAGCAGGAGAGGAGGGTGGCTTGGAGTGGGACCTTGGCAGGAGAGACAGAGCCTGAGTGTGGGAACGAGAGGAATCAAGGCCGTCTCCCAGGCCATTTGCAGAGATGAGGGAGGAACTGGTTTGGGGAGGGAATCAAGGATTCTTTAGAYACAAGAAAAACAGAGACGCTCATGAGATACTAAGAGGAGATGAGGCATTTGGACTCAGGAGACAGCGAACTGTGCAGGCTGGACATGGGGCCTGTCACTTCCTGTCTGCTGATGATGTCAGGGCCGTGGATGAGCCTGCTCCAGGAGATCTGCAGGGAGAAGAGGAGGCTCTCTGAGCAGCCTCTGACAGAGGACCCTGCAAGGCCTGCTGGGCCATCAGGGGTGGGAGCAGGGACATTGGATAACCAAGAACAGACAGAGCGCGGCCCAGCATGAACGTCGTGAACACCCAAATCAGAAGGGCACARGCCAGCACCCACTGGCTCTGACCTCCACGGGGAGGGGACCACAAACCCTGAGAAGAGCCTTCCGGTGGTGTGGTGGGGCCAAGGTTGGAGGGACGGCAGAAGGTGGGCCCGGAGGTTTGCAGGTGAGAAGAACAGGGGGATAGGCACAGTGGACCGGAGGGTGTAACAGTGAGGATGGCCCAGGTGACAGCCCCCTGTGGCCCTTAGCGGGAAGGGGACCCAGAAGAAAGCCACTGATGGGGTGAGGTGGAAGAGGCTGAGCTGGGCAGGAGGGATGCTCTGTGAAGAAGGGGCTAGCAGGTCTGTAGGGCTCTTCCGGCAGACTCGAGCTACTGTGGTGACGTCCGTGCTCCATGCATGTGACCTACGAGGGTGTGAGGAGTGAGCACAGGAGGGGAGCTCCGTGGGACACCCCGGCCGGTGCTCCTTCCTCACTCACTGCCTGTTGGCCTCTGGGTCTGAAGAAGGGGCTTGGTGGGATGGGGACGGGATTCCTCCAGTTCTCGTCCTCCTGGCACAGGGAGCAGGGGAGACCGGGAGAACTGAGAGGCTGCAGCTGGAGAGTCGCCCTGCCCRAAACGAAGATTTAATTTCAATTCATGTTAAAGGAGCTCATTATTTTTTTAATGTCAGAGAAAAATGCCCCAAGTTGTTTAGCTGGTCAAAAGGAAACCGTGGGCAAGGTGAGCTCTTACAAGTCCTCCCATGAAGGGACACTAGGGGGCAGAATTGTTGAAAGAAAAGAAATCAACCTGGTCCCCAGAGTGACACTGTTTCTTGTGTATTGTGGAAATGCACTTTGAAAGTGTCCTAGGCAGAGTGTCAATGCTGAGCGGGAAAAGGACTTCAGTCCATTGTATTCCCAGGCCTCTGTGAAGAGATACAGTAAGTGGTGGTTAAATCTGTTACCTAGGACCTGATCGGAGCCTGCCCAGACTCCCCATCAATCCAGAAGGCTTAGGGGTGCTCAGTCTTCCTGAACCCTACCAACACCTGCGTGGGTGGGGCTGGGCTTTAAAGCCACCCACAGACGGTTCCACTGAGTTCTGTTCTGTGGGGGTCCTGGTATGAGGCCCCAGCCTCCATGTTTTGGAAACAGCCTGGGGTTTAGAATTGCTGTGCTGGTTATTCGGTGGCCTTCGTGGGTGGCCCCTGGGCCACAGGCGTCAGCAGCAATGGAATYGTCCCATATGCAAGTCCAGACCTAGAAGACCATGAGTTCTGGGGGTGGCACCCTGCAGCCCCCTTTAACCAGCCCTGCAAGCAAATCTGCTATACTGTAGAGCTTGAGAGCCACTCCCTACTCCTCCCCAGGGAACCATGTCAGGGACAGATTCTCCGTAGTCCACCTCTGCTCTCCTCTAATCTGCTGCTTCATGCAGAAGTTTAACCTGTGCTCACTGTGGTTACTCCCCTGAGTACTTATCCAGCCACTACCACACACACACACACACACACACACACACACACACACACACACACTTCAGTGTGAATCAACCTGGGAATGTGATAGAAACAGTAGCTGAGACCTTTGAATTTTTTAAAAATTAGCTATCAAATCTCAAAAGTTTGAGGAAAACAGCCTAAACTACCAAAAGACTGCCAAATCCTCCTCAGCACGCTTCCCCTGTTTGAAAGTGTCCTCGTCCTTTAGCCTGGTGCGGCCTCCCAGGCTCACAGCCCACCACGGCTTGCTCTCTGTCCCTGTGTTGTAGCAGAGCAGACCCTCAGCAGCTCTGCAGGTGACTCTTTTTTTGCTACTGAGGATGGAATCCAGGAGGGGTGCTCTAAAACTGAGCTACATCCCCAGCCCTTTTAATTTTAATTTAATTAATTTTTTTAAAAATTTTGAGACAGGGTCTCACTAAGTTGCTCAGGCTAGCTTCCAACCTGCGATCCTCCTGCTTCAGCCTCCTGAGTTGCTGGGATCCCAGGTGTGCACTGGGATCCCCAGTCCCTGACTTGCAGTTCAGTTGATCATCTGGGTTTCCCACTCCTATCTGGAGAGTGGGGATGATCTTGAGCCTGAGGAACTCTTTCAATCCTTGTCATGGGACAGCATGTGGAGATCACGGGAAGTCTGACCGTGGCACAACTGAGTAGCAACCGAATGTGGCCCTGGCTGTTTTCTCCCAAGGAATACTTGGGATTCTGATGTTTTAGTGACATTCTTCTCTCAGTAATAGTAGCAGGCCATCTTTATTTAAAAATATGCTTTTTATGTCAAAGAAATTGATACTACTATTTATTTTGAGTGGAAAAAATTTTTGATAAACATTTCAATTTCTTAATTGGAGCTCATGCAAAACCTGGAAG